TCAGACGTGTGCTCTTCCGATCTCCCCAAAACCCCAAAACCCCAAAACCCCTAACGTTTAAAATGATGAGTTCAGAGCGAATATCATTTAATGTATTTTAAAAATGACTAAATGACTATTCAATAAATTATTTGAAATATTTCTTGATTATTTTCTCATTTTATCAAACTTCTCAATTTTATAGATATTGTATTGCTTATCAAATCTCAATCTAATCAATTTGATCAGTATTTTTTTCATCAAGATATTCCTTAGTAGTGATTGTTGGATGATCAATCATTTAAATTGTCTATTATTCAAATTACTTGGTAGTAGATGTAGTTGTAAATGTCTGTAGTAAGCCCTATTAGAGTGGACCATTTAAAGCCTGTTAATCATTCATTTTTTACAATTGCAATTACTCAATTAGATTTTCCATATCATCCTTTAATGTTTAGGAAAAGACATTGTCATTAAGTATTTTCTAATGATGCCTTTAATTATGGTTGAGAGAATGTGCAAGAATCTTGTTGACCTTATATTGCTACTTAATTAAAGACACAGACTATTTCTACCTCACTAGAATCAATGCTAATTGATTGGCTAATTTTAAATGTTCTAATGTTGGAAAGGCTTTTCCTCTTTTTATGAAATTGTAAAGAAACTTTATTGAAGCTTTAAAATTAACTTGAGAATCAACCTCTAGCTCTAGCCTAAGTCCTAAAATAAAAGCTTTGACAAAATGATTTTCCTTGATGTACTGACTCCAATAATCAATATCGCTTTCAATATGCTAGCATGTCGTTAAAAAGTCTTTTGGATTTATTTTTTTTTCTTATTTTATTTAATTTTTTCCTTTATCATTGATGTTACTCTTTTCACTATCTTGTCTTATTTAATTTTTAATTTTTATAATGTCACCTGCTGGTGTATCTGGGAGTTCCAAAATCTCATCTTAAGTCTTTTTTGTTTTCTTAGGTAACTGAAATTATGTTTTAAACCAATGTATCTAGTATTTTTTTTGAAGATAAACAATGAATTAGCGAAACATTAGTCTGATATAGCTCTTTTTATTGAACTGTTATATCAATTTCTTAATTTGTTTAATCATTTAAACTACACTTGCCTCATCCATTTGCTTCCCCATATTCTTCAGGTAATCCATATAAATATCATTAATGGCGAGAATATTTTGACACTATAAACTCTTTTTAATAATCCTTTTATCATTGAATAGCCTTTTTTCATTTAACTTATACGAACTCTAGACCCATTTTGATCTTTGCTAAATGATAAGTTAATCAGCTTTTTAGAACTATTTGAGTTGAATGAGACATTTAAGTTTGTAAACCTGAATTTTGACGAACATTAATATATCTTCATCGACACAATAGTTGCCATCCTCAATCTGAGCATTCCCTTGAACCAACATATTTAAAGGATCCTAGACTAAAATGTTTTTTCTTATCTATGAAGGATGATCATTGAAAAGAAAGTCGCACTGATCGAAAGTATTAAGAGCTTCTTGATATCGACCTTAGATATAGAGCCTAACTCCTTTTAGTGGCAATTATTCTTATAATACTTTTCCATTAAATATGCTCATGAACTTCTATTCATCATAATATCTGCACTTGATCTTATGATAGATTCCCTGCTGAGTTTTATATGGATCAAATATAATGCAGTCTTACAAATCATAAATACCTTGCTCTTACTTCTTGATTTATCTTCTTAAGCCTGAAACTTGATAGTTAGCTTATTCCTTTATGGATTTCATTTATTTACACTATTAATCTCGGCATTCTTTAACTCATCGATACTTATTTTTTATATAGCAGAAATGTTCCAAGTGTCTGTCACTATTTATAAAAATGTCGTTGATTTTCTCCATTAAACTTATTGAATTTCAGGTTGGTCAATAATATACTGATCTATTTAGTGAGATTATATAAATAAGTAAAATTGTAATCTATTTATTTTATTTGAATCGCAGTCAGTCACTACTTAAGGGGTTTTGGGGTTTTGGGGTTTTGGGG